GCCATACTGGGAGCTGACTGGGCCGTACTGGGGGGCACTGGGAGCTCACTGGGCCATACTGGGGGGCACTGGGAGCTCACTGGGCTGTACTGGGAGCTCACTGGGCCATACAGAGGGTCACTGGGAGCTCACTGGGCTGTACTGGGAGCTCACTGGGCCATACTGGGAGTCACTGGGCCATACTGGGGGTCACTGGAGGGTTACTGGGCCATACTGGGAGCTCCCTTTCCCCACGTTGGGTCCTCCGGGCCGCCAGGGGGCGCTGTGGCAAGGGCGGCAATAGCGCCGCCGCGCAAGGGCGCATTGGAGTTGTAGTTCCCTCCCTCCCGGGGGCTCATGGGATTTGTAGTTCCCTCCCGTATGGCCAAATAAACCCGCCCAAAAAACCCCAAAAACCCAAAACCCCAAAAAAGTTCCTTAAACGGCGACCGAAATTAATTAAATTAAAAAAGAGGATGGGGAAGACCCTGAAAAAAAATGATTGCCTTTCCCAGAGGAGAATTAATTAATTAATTTATTAGAGGGAGAGAAAAATGTGGTGGTTTGGGGATCTTCAATTTCCTGATTTTCAATTAATTTGGGCACAGAACACAAAAAATAAAGATTTTTTTTTTTTTTTTTACAGTGAGGTTTCCAAAAGGAAATGTTCAGGAAAATGGAAAAACAGGAGAGATTTTGGAGGCACTGGGGGAGGGGAAATAAAAGATAAAATGTGATAAAACAAAATACAATAAAATAGAATAAAATACGATAAAATAGAATAAAACATGATAAAATACAAAAAAATATAATAAAATATGATGAAATACAACAAAATACAACAAAATAAAATAAAATACAATAAAATAGAATAAAATACAAGAAAATACAATACAATACAATCAAATATGGTAAAATACGGTAAAATACAATAAAACATAATAAAATATGATAAAATACAATAAAAATACAATAAAATACGATAAAATACAACAAAATACAATACAATAAAATGCAATAAAATATGATAAAATAGAAGAAAACAGAATAAAATACAATAAAAATACAATAAAATATGATAAAATAGAATAAAATAGAATAAAATAGAATAAAATACAATAAAATAGAATGAAATATGATAAAATACAATAAAATACAATAAAATACAATAAAATATTATAAAATACGATAAAAATAGAATAAAATACAATAAAATATGATAAAATAGAATAAAATACAATAAAATACAATAAAATATGATAAAATACAATAAAATATGGTAAAATAGAATAAAATAGAATAAAATACAATAAGATACGATAAAATACAATAAAACACAACAAAATACAACAAAAAACAATAAAAATTTAACCACGTTAGTAAAATTTCACTGCTGTTAAGTGTGACTTTGCAAAATTGTAACTGCTTGAAAGAACCGCTCGGTGCCCAAACTGTGGGGCAATCGAGATAAAGCTGACGGAAAGAAAAGGGTCAAGCAGGAAAGACTTCCAGCATGGAGCATGGCAAGGGAGACAGAAAAGGGATGGGGAAACCTGAGCTGTTTGAAATGAGAAAACTTTATGTTTATGTTTATGTTTATGTTTACGTTTACGTTTATGATAAAACAGTGTGTTTGACAGATTGTGGAGGATCTCTCTGAACCACAAGGACTCAGCACCAAAAGCCCCACGGGGCTCACTCAGATAAAGCAAGTCCTGACCAACCACGGCCCTTCCTGTGATTTCCCTCTGGTCTGGACAGTAAATTAGGAATGTTGTCCATGGAATCAGGGCCCATTGTGACACTGCAGGGCCCCATGGAACTGTGTTGTCTGGCTCTGCTGGGAGGGGCCCAGCTTTGCTGGCCTGGGAGGAATGAGCTCAAAGAGCTCCCAGTGTGCACAAACATCTGGCTCCCTTCTCCTCCTGGGTCCCACCCAAAGCCTGGCCAGGCCTGAAGGGGCAAACCCAGGGAGTCAACCTGTCCCATCTGCTGCCAAGCAAGGCCAGACATCGACTGCCACGGCCTTCACCAGCCCCCAGACACGGAGAGATAAAGGTCACACCTTGCTCACAATCACACACATTTTGTTAATGAACAGACACAAACAGTATCCACTAATGAGCAGATATTAATACATCTTACTAATGACATTTTGTTGATGAGCAGACACACAGTGTAGTCTTATCACACCACATCTTTTACTCACAAACACACACAGTTTGAGCTGATGAGGGATAAATAGAACATCAGGTTGGAGCTCTAGAGGCCAACTTTGCTCAGGGCCTGTTGTTCAGCCTCAGCACTTCAGTGGCAGACAGACAGGGCTTTATATTACACACAATTTACACACTCATTAGATATTCTCCCTTCACACAAATTCTGTACTTTGCTTTACACACTCACACCCTCTATCCCCAGTCCTTATTTGGTCATTTGGGGTCTTCTTTGGGGGTCTCTGGTGGGTTTTTCTGTTTCTGGTGCCCCCCAAAGTTGAGGTGTCCCCTTGTTGCCCTCAGTTCTGAGCAGGCACAGTGTCACTGGTTTTCACCACAAAGGCTGGAACGTTTGGGTTTGATCCTCTCTGGGTCCCCAGAGCTCAGCTGACATCCTGGTTGCTGGAGTTACATCCCTGATCCAATCCTCCAGGACTTCTCCAAGATAACATTGTTCTTTATTTGCCCCCTGTGAAAGGCTGTGAGCAATGTTCTATTTCTCACAAGCCAAGGGAGTCACAACCTGCCCCATCTGCTGCCAGACAAGGCCAGGTATCACTTCCAGGGCCTTGACCAGGATCTACACACACAAAGATCAGACCTTGCTGACAATCACACAGATTTCACCAATGAACAGGTACAAAGAGTGTTCACTGCTGAGCAGATACTAACATGGTTACTAAAAAGCTTTTAACACTGATGTAGTTTTAGCTGATGAGTGGTACATGGATAAACAGAACATCAGCTTGGAAGGGTCATGGAGAGGTCAGTTTGGGCCCAGGGCCTGTAATTCAGGCCTCACCACTTCAGGGACAGACAGACAGGGCTTTTGATTACACACACATTTACACATTCAGCAGATATTCTTGCTCACTTTATCCATGGACTTGTAGGCAACTCTGGGGTCACATTTGGTACTAAAATGAGATGGAAATTTTCCCCCATGCCAAGAGTGTTTTAACTTGCATCAGAAGAGCAAAACAAGACTGAAGCATTTTGTTTCTGCAATCCAGTGGGAACCTCTGTCTGGTGACCTTCCCAAAGGTACCCCAAATCCAGGGATTCTTGGATTCAACAGGATTCCACTCCCTTCCCTAGCCTGGTTGGTGCCACAAGGAAAAACCTCTGGCCACCCAGAGAAGGTACCCCCGAGACCAGGAGATATTTATACCCCCCTTCTCTGGGCAGTTCAGTGCAATCCATCTGCCAACATTCACCTGGAACATTTCCACACTTTCCATCCCCTATTCCCACCCCACTGGCAGGGTTTGGATTGTTTCTCTCACACTCCCCACACTGCTGACTCACTGCTGGTACAATTGGGGTCAGTTTTGGACCCAGAACCCACTTGTGCAGATGTTACAGTGCAGAAACAAAGACAAACACAAACCAGTGATCAGTGGATAAAACAAAGCCAGAGACCAAATTGGGGAACACCAAATAATCCCCCCAAAGCACTGGAAGATCCACACATCTTACACGGGCAGCATTCCCAAAGGAATGCCTTATTATCCAGTAGGACTTTCCCCACATCCCAGAACGGTCCAGGGATCTGTGCTCTTCTCCAGGAAAGTCCTGGTGTGGGTGTGAAGATCCAGAGATCCCTGGGATCCACGGGAGATCAGGCACAGGGGCCCATCTGGGGGCCAGCAATGATGCCCAAAAGCAGCAGAAACCAAGCCCTTCAGCCCAGTTGGCTGGGGGGAAGAAGCAGGAATTCTTTAGTGCAGCCTGCTGGGGGCCTGGAGGAGAGTTCCTCTCATCCAGCCTGCCCAGGGACACACACAGGGCTTTGGATCACACACTGATTCCACAGGCACTGGATATTCCCCCTTACTCAACACATGCCCATTACTTTGCTTTACACACTCACACCCCTATTGCAAGTACCCATTTGGTCATTTGGGGTCTTCTTTGGGGGTCTCTGGTGGGGTTTTCTGTGTCTGGTGCCCCCCAAAGTTGAGGTGTCCCCTTGTTGCCCTCAGTTCTGAGCAGGCACAGTGTCAGTGTTTTTCACCACAAAGGCTGTAACATTTGGGTTTGATCTTCCCTGGGTCCCCAGAGCTGGTTGCTTCAGGTACATCCCTGATCAAATCCTTCCAGATTCCTTATTTGGCCATAGTGGAATGTTGTAAGCAATGTTCTATTTCTCCCACCAAAAAGTCCAGGGGGGCTCATCCATCTGGAGTCCAGCAGGTCTCAGGAGGCTCTGGGAGGGATGGAAGCTCTTCCCAGAAGTAACTGAGGGGTGGAGATACTCCTCATCCTGCTCCTCCACAGCTGGGTCGAGACAGCCCCTGGGGATGGGAACAGCTGCCTTGGTTGCTTGGGGATCTTGTCCATCACTGTTTGTAGGGTCTTCCCACATGGCAGCATCCTGGGAGCCGTGGACTGGGCACTGGCACCCCCAGGAAGTTTTCTGCTGTGCCACTTGCTCCTGGGAATGCCTCAGCTGGGAGCCTGGAATGGGCTCCTTACCCCCAGGCTGTTCCTGGCCATGGGCACCCTCAGGGATGAACGGGCTCTGCTGATTCCCGCGGCTCCAGGGGAGCAGGGAGTGCCATCCATGGGGGCTGATCCATCTGAAGCCTGGCAGGGCTCAGGGAGGCTCTGGGAGGGATGGAGGCTCCTGCCTGAACTAACAGAGGTGCAGAGATTTTCCTTATCCTGCTCCTCCACAGCTGGATCAGGAGAGAGCCTGGAGATGGGAAAAGCTCCCTTTGCCACTGGAGGATCTTGTCCAGCAACGTCTGGAGGGTTTTCCCATATGGAAGCATCCTGGGAGCTGTGGATTTGGCACTGCCCCTGGGAATCCAGGAATGGAATGGGCTGGGCTCCCACTGGGACTGGATTAGCGGGGTCTGCAGATACCCACTGCTCCACGGGAGCAGGGACTCTTATCCATGGAGGCTCTGGGAAGGATGGAGGCTCTTGCCAGGAGTAATGGAGGTGTGGAGATATTCCTTATCCTGCTCCTCCACAGCTGGATCAGGAGAGAGTTTGGAGATGGGAACACTTCTCTTTGCCACTGCAGCATCTTCTCCAGCACCGCGTGGAAGGTCTTCCCATATGGCAGCATCCTGGGAGCCATGGATTGGGCACCAACACTTGCTGCTGTGCCACTCTATCCTGGGAATGCCTCACTGGAACAGGCTTGTTGCTCTCAGTCTCCTCCTGGCCATGAGCATCCTCAGGGATGAGCGGGGTCTGCTGATCCCCACGGCTCCAGGGGACAAGGGAGACCTGTCCCCCGGGATTCCTCCGGCCTCCAGCCAGCAGGGCTCACGGAGGCTCCTACAGGGATGGAGCCTCTTGCCACAAGGAACAAGGTGCAGGGATATTCCTTATCCTGCTCCTGCAACCCCGGATTGAGAGAGTGCCCTGGAGATGGAGCAGCTGCCTTTGCTGCCGGGGGATCTTGTCCAGCACCGCCAGGAGGGTTTTCCCACTCGGCACCGCCACAGCACCCCGGGAGCCTTGGATTGGGCACTGCAGCACCCCTGGCCAGGCTGTCCTTCTGGCTGCACACTCGTGTCTCCAGCTCCCTGGCTGCTGCCCACAGCACTGGGACACAGGCACGGCAGGAGGGGCCCAGGAGGACAGTCCATGCTCGTGTCTCGTGGGCTCCTGAGAAGAGCAGGGCTGTGCTGAACAGAAGCAACTCTGTCTGCCAGAAATGAAAAGAAACAAAAATCTGCAACAAGAATTCGCTGCTCTCATCTTAAAACAGAGGTGAAATCAGTGCAATAGGACATGGAGCCAACTACAGCGTTCATGACATGGATGATACAACTTGCAAGTTTTCACCAGGAACTGCAAAACATCCACGTGCTGCTCCCAGGCATTTTTAGTTCTGTCCTGCTTCCTGTCATGCTAAGTTTGCCTGTAGGTCAAAGAAGGACAGACTCAAGCTTAAGAAATTAAAATATTTTGGAGTTATAATCCCTAAAACATCACCTTTCAAAGGGAGATTAGTAACAGGAAAACCAGCAAAATTGAGTCATGGTAGAATAAATGACTTTGATTTGATTCTTCACAATGTTTTGTTTTTATTATTAATTTTACTCCAGCAATTACCAAACGATCACATCGGGGCCCTGCTTAAACTAAAAAGGCTTCATAAGCTGACTCCTGTCTGCCAACTGGGAATAAATCAACTCCTCTGGAACTCTTTGGAATGGACAAAAAGATTTGTTTAAACTCTTTGTCAAAACCTTTAACTTGACTGAGCTTCAGGACTCCTGCAACTCTCCTGTTATTAGTTCATCACCTGGATTATAAACCATATTTATCTGGTTGGCCCATGTAAAGATTTACAAATATAAAATAAGATCCTTCATTTCCAGGAGCTACAAGCTGTAGTCACACACAAGGACATTTGTCATTTTTTGGTTCTGCAAAAGCTTGGGAAACTTTTCCCTTTTATATTTTCCCTTCTGAACTCGTCTCTTTCCTTTCTCTCCCTTCCTCTACTCAGAAGACCTTTCCTGTGGTTTATTCCTGTGTGGACTCTCTGATCCTTCCACAGGACTTTATAGAGATGTGGTTGTTGCAAAAAAAAATACTTATTAGATCTTTCTTGGGTTTGATTGAGACTGTTCAGATGATGAAACACGTATTTTACATTATCCTGAACTGCAAATTTGTTACACAATTAAAGGAGAATATATAAAAAAGGTTTGAATAGCATAATTGAAAAAGGCTCATTACCTGTCCAATTGCCATAAAGTAAAGCTGTATCTGTCGTCTAAAGAGGAAAAAAGCCTTTTTTCCCCTTTTGATTTGAACACACATTTGGACTTTTTTTCCTGTATCAAATGAAGCAAAAAGAATATGTTATTACAACTTTATTATTTCCTAAATGCATGGTGTGTGCTACAGAGCACCACTGAACTGTGCCAGCCTTCCTGCAGGCTGGATAAACTCAGTGCAGATTTGCACCAGGAGCTGTAAATCATCAACCATCCCCACGCCCTGAGGTGAGCCCTGAGCCAGCAATGCCTTCTGGGGACAGGTTCTCCACGTGTGCAGGCATCCCCCTCCCTGCAGGTGTTCCAAGTTCCCCTCTCCCACGGCCCTCCACCCAGCCATGGAACACTGACAATCCACAATGGTTCACACCTGGCATGGATTTTTCCCTTTGGGAGATCTGGGGCAACCTGGAACTTGCTCAGCCTCTTGTGCCCTGTTCAGGTGGGCATCTGTCACTTTTCTTCCTGCAATAATCCAATCCAATCCAACCAGTACTTTGCTCCTGCTCCAAGGAATTACCAGAACCTTTGGCTGTGTTTTCCCATTCTATATCTCTATTTTATATAACCCAAGTTAAATAAGTACCATTTTAAAACACTGGCACTTCTGTATTTCAAACTCCCAGCACAGCACAGACATTTGACAGGTGATCCTGAAACTTGACTGGTGATACTGCCAGCAGGGTATTAATAAATAGGGAATATCAGGACAGAAGTTCATCCAATACACACACCCCAAAATCCTCCCAAAAATACAGATTGATTTGGGGGGTTGTTTTCTGGAAGGAACAAACTTCACAGCCCTGCCATACACACAACAAAGTGTGACCCAGGCACAAAGGGGAGCAAAGCTGAGGGTCCTTTAGGCTCCAGATTTAGAGAGTGACATTGGCTGGACACTGCTGGGAGCCCTCACACATTGCCCATGTTGGGGTGAACTCACAGAAGAGACAGAAATGGTTTTCATGCTGCTCCAATATAGAATCTCTTTACCCAAACCCCAAATCTGAACAAAATCTGCCCCTGCTTTTCCCTCCATACACCCAGGACGTGTGTGGGGCACAGAGGGGGAACAGGAGGGTCTGTCTGCACAGCAGACAAGCCTGAAGAAGCACAATCTGTCATCCTCACAACAAACAGTGTGAGTTTAGCCCAGCAATGGCTTGAAAACCCTGGTGACTAACTGGGGGGGAGGAGAGGAGGGAAAAAATCCTTACCAATTCCTTAGGGACTTCTATGCAGGAAAACATAATCAAAACACTCATATCAAAGCAATCCATTACACTTTTTGCTAACTGGAAATTTCTTTTACGATATGTTATCTAATATATACCTTATTATTTACAAGAGATGCAAAAGGAAAAAAAAAATTCACCAATTAGTTCTGCAACTCATTGCCTTCCTTCAGCAGAGAAACTGCTGCTGGTGGGACATTGCCCGTGTTGGACCTTGGCAATCACACACCTTTGCCCACCCCCCTTGCTCCAGATGTGCCAGCTACCCCAAAGAACATGAGATGGAACCCACCTAACTCAAACATCAGTTTTGTGGCAGCTGACACTCCCTGGGGTTTGGCACTGGAGCTGAATCTCTGGGGGATCTCTGGGACAGAAGGGGGCATTTCATGGATGGTTCCACTTCTGAACTTCCCTGGGCGAGTTGCACTTGGCTGGTGAGGCCAAAAGATTCAGGATCAGGATTTTTATCTCTCAAAACTACATATTGGATTTTAGGGATAAATTGCAAAATTCTGAAACTGGAAAGCTGATAAAACAGAAAATACTGTTTCTCCCTCAAACACATTTGAAGAAGTCCACCCATGAAAACATTCCAGCCCTGCAGAAATCCAAGCCCTTGCAGCCTGCTCAGCTCACCTGATCCCTCCTCTCCACTGACGGCAGGAACAGGACTCTCCTATTGCAGGGGCTCACCTGGAGATGCTGGGTTAAGGACTCACAACTTCTTAAGAAAATCAACATTATAATCTCACAGTTCTGGCAAGGTTTCATTATCAGAGGGGTTCAAAAGCAAAGCTCTGTTGCCAGGACCAATTAATGCAGGATGGTGCTCTAATGCCAAAGGTTATTTCTGTTGCTGCTTTTGTTACACTCTGGAATAACTCCTGTAGAGATCAGAGCTGGCAACCAGAATTCCAATGGCACTCTTGTTTCATTTTTCAGACTTTGCATTTCAAGAGTGGTGAATTTTATTGGAAACTTTGAAACGGTTGTAACAAACTGCCTCAGAAATTTTATTTTATTTATTTCTGAGGCAGAATTTTCAAACATATCTTTTGAGTGTGCAAAGAGTTGAATGAGTTGTAATGATTTTTTTATTTGCAATTGTACATTTGCCACTGATTGATGTCCTAATTTATATTTTGTTAAATGTGAGTTCTTTCATTGTTGTCTTCTGTAATACATGGCTTTTCATGATTTTTTTTAAAAAATATAACCCACAAGCATAAAGATGATCTCATAAAGTGTTACAACCTTTTAAATCCACTTGGTGCCACAGAAGCACAGCATGCAAATATTGCATCCAAGTATACTGATGTTTACACCTGAAAGTTTGGACTTGATGACAGTTCTACACAGTCATGAACAGAGGGCTGGTTTGATGTGTCACACAACTGTGGTGACTATGAACGTCTGCTCTGAGCTTTTCTTTATTGTTCCCATTGATAACTGCCAGCCTGCCCTTCGTGGGGAACACAGGCCTGCATTTTGTAGAGTAGGGATGGAAGACCTTTTGGAGCCCGATAGTTTGATCCCCATTTAATTAGTTTTTAGAAATCAGGAGCTGGACTCGAAGGTGCTGAGGGGTCCCTCCCAGCTCAGCACATCCCACGATTCCATGAGGTCCAACTGCCCACCCAGCACCGCCCCAGGAACCCCCAAACCACTGAACCGCGTCACTCATGGCCAGCTCCAGACACCGCTGAAACACCTCCAGGGACGGCGACTCCACCTGGGCGAGCTCTTGCAGCGCCCGAGCGCCCTGTGAGTGCAAACAACTCTTCCGATCCCTGCCCTGGCCCTGCCCGGCCTCAGCCCGAGCCCCTTCGCTCCTGCCAGCGCAGGCTCCTTCCCAGCAGCCGCCTGAGGAGAAGGCGGCTCCCGGCTCCCCTGTGCCCCCCGGCCGGCCCCACTCCGGCCCCGCTCCGGCCCCGCTCGGGGGGAGAGCTCCCCCGGGGGGCCCTTGGTGGCGGTGTGTCGTGGTTTTGCCCTGGTTCAATTTACTTTTATACCTCCACGTACAATTACTATTAGTTGAGAGAAGGTTTATGCAGACAAAAAGAGACTGAATTAAAAAAAGTATGAGTATTTATTATTAACAAACTAAAACTAAAGAATTATATTTACAACAATTCTACTTGAGTAAAAGGTATTATGTATTTACAAAAGATACTTTTCCCCCCACTTCCCTTTATATCAGTCCAAGGAGGAGAAGCAGTCCTTTTCTGTTCTCAGAATTCCAGCTCTCTCTCTCTCTAGTAACTCTGCAGCACTTTCTTCACAGTTGGAACTTCTTTATCTCTCTCTTATTCTGTGTTGGCCTCCAGGGCTGGGCCTACCCCCCTCCTGGGTTAAAACCGAAGGCTGAGGGTTACCCAGGTCCTGAAGGGTCTCCTTCCATAGACTTGCAAGGGGACACTTGCTTACTATGGATCTTCTTCCACAGGGTTACAGGGGATAATGGTTTAAGAGTTCACCCCTGTTTTCCTATGGAGGTCCCTCCCCATGGGAGAACAGTCCTTGATTGACTTCTCGGCATGGGTCTAGTCTGGATCCCTTACTCGGATCCCAATATCCCACCTGAGTCATTTTCTGCTCCAGCGTAGGTTCTCTCTAGCACCAGCAGCACGGATCCCACACATGGATCCCAACATCCCTACCTGAACCGTTTTGTGTTCCAGCGTAGGTTCTAATACCCGTCAGGGTCATAAATCTTCAACAGCAGCAGCATGGATCTCTCACTGAGATCCCAAGCTTATCTGAGCCGTCTCGCTCCAGCATAAGCATCGATCCCTTCGAGGGTCACAAAGTCTTTAACAGGACTCTGCCTCATCTGAGCCGCTTTACTCCAGCATAAGGCTTTCTCTCTGTTAAAGTCACAAATCTCTGGTGCATCCACAAGCTCCTTTGTGAGCCGCATGGGGGGTCTCTTCACCCCAACAAACTTCTACAGGTGGCAGGGTTTTATTTTTCAGTCTTTACCCTGCTGAAGGGAGGGAGAGTGAAAAGGAGAAAAAGCAGTTCTCCCCCCTTCGAACTTTTCTTCTCTCTCCTGCGACTGCAGCTTTGACCTTGAAAATCCTGTTATCTCATGGCTGGAATTCTTCGGTAGCGGTTTCTCATCTAAGCAGTTTGTCTTTTAAACCTTTTTTTTTCTTCACTCTCTCACAAAAGAGAAGAGAGACTTCAGTACTGCACCTGCCTCCCCCCCCCGGCCCAAGCCGGGGAGGAGGGGACCTTGGCCCTCCTCGGGCCCGCTACCCTTCTACATGGCTGCTGCTCCTAATTTCAACTGCGCAACAACCTTCTCTTCCGATTTCTTAAAGATGTAATTAGCAAAGGCGTCACTGAACTTTTTGATTGGTTTTTTGTCCGGAAATCACCTGGACAAAACCATCCTCAGCCCCAGGGATGGGCTGAAGGGCAAAACCACGACACGGTGGCTCCCTGTGGGTCCCTTCCCGGGGTCTCTCCCCGGGGCCGCTCTCTGTGCCCGTCCGGCCGCGGCCGCTCCCAACTCCCAACTGCCCGAGGGCACCTCGGCCGGGGCCGGCCCCGGCTCTTGGCCCCGCCCCCTCCCCTCCCGACCAATCCCCGCCTCGCCCCGCCCACTCCGAGTCCTCCCATTGGCTGTGCGCGCCCAGCCCATGGGGCGAGGAGCGCGCGGGGAGGGTTCGACACCACGTGACCCGTGGGGGAGTTGGAACAGGGGTGAGGCGGGGAGCGCTGGGCGCTGCCTGGCAACTGATGAGTCATCAGTTCCGCGCGCTCCCATTGGTTATAAAATGCTTCTGGCCCTTCTGTGGCTGATCCCTCCGAGCCCCCTCAGTGCCCACCCAAAAAACGGGACTGCGAGAACTAGGAGGCTTTATTGGGAACACTGGGAGTAGCTGGGCGGGGGCAGAGTGACAGTGTGTGTGGGGGGATACACAACCCCCCCCAGAATCAGCACGGGGACGGCACAGGTCCATGGGGGGCACTGGGAGAGAGGGGGTACTAGGATGAGCTGGGGGGCACTGGGAGAGAGGGGAGACTGGGATGGGTTAGAGGAGCACTGGGAGAGAGAGGGGAATTTTTTTGACCCCTTTCCTGGGCACTGGAACCCCCTGCACCCCTGTGCCTGGCCATCCCAGCTCTCCTTCCCCCACAGGCCATCAACAGGTTTTGGAGCTCCCTCGAGTGCTGGTTTAATGACATCACTGGTTTTCAAGAAGAATATGCCCGCCCCTTCTTCCCACCCCTGTGAGACTCATCCAATAGAACATTGTGAAATCCGTGACATCACCGGTCACCAGGCAGAATTGGCGAGCTTGGGGGCTGCTTGGAGCAGGGCGGTGCTCACGGTGGGGGGCGGATCCCGATCGATCGGGATCAGTTGGGATCGGTTAGAATCGATCAGGATCCGGGGTCTCTTCCCACCACCATGTTCTTCATGTGCCGACCCAACGAGGCCATGGTGGTGCTGGGTGAGTTTGGGGGGCCCGGGGACTCCTGGGAACCCCCCAAGTCCCCCCCAAGACTCCTGGGGACCCCCAACTTCCCTCCATCAAATCTCCTGGGACTCCCCCAGCCATCCCAAACTGCCTCCTGGGGATCCCCTGTATCTCTTCGTTAGGATCCATGGCCAGAACAAAGACAACAGTCATTCACACACTACAAAAAAATCTCTTATTGCAGTTAGAGTAAAAGACTACTAGCAAAGAGGTTAAAAAGCTAAAAAAGAAGACAAAATCACTACTTTATCAGTTAGCATTCATACAATACTACAATCAGCTTTTATTACAACATTAGCTAGTAAAAAGGGAATTAAAGGAATACAAAAAAAAAAGAATACAAAATGTTTTCTTTCCTGGTTGCTTCCTATCAATAAACTGTGCTCACCTGCACAGACAGGCCAGGCCTACCAGGCTCTGCAGGGCTGGTCGGTACCCGTGCTTGGCGGGTGTCCCTGCAGAGCAGCACAGTGTGGATGGAAGGATGAGCATCGCTCCACCCAGCAGTGCTGACACCCCATTCCATCAGCTCTACATTACACTACGTAGGGCCAGGAAACAGCAGAAGGTGGTGCTTGAGTGGCAGCCAAACAGCGCCCGTTCATCACCTCATAGCAACAGTCTGGGCGTGCCCCACTGTAGGGCAAGGGGCCAACGACATCTTCCTCTCCATCACCTTCCTCAGCCCTATGGACGACCTGTACCATTGTGTTTCAAGGGGATTTGTATCTCTCTTGCAGAGTGGAGCCAAGCCAAGGAGGAACTCAGCTCTGATAATGGGGGACATCCAGTTAACTTTGCTAAAGGCACAATGGGCCTTACAGTGAACTTGTGCAATAAAGTCACCTTGTACAACACTCTGGCTGGTTTCACACCCCAATATAATCACTTTCTCACCCCTCTCTGATCCACTCATCATCTGAATCAAAATTCCCCCCCTCACACCATGGCAACCATTGTGCATTCTCATTGTTACCACGGTTACCATAGCAACCATTGTGCATTCTCATTGTGACCTTAGTTACCATGGCAACCATTGTGCATTCTCACTGTGATCTCTGTTACCATTGTGTATTCTCACTGTGACTT